AGATTTCACAGTCCGTGACGTATTTTTCATGACCGTGAATTTGGTAGAGCCCAAACAATACGTGTATGTGGAGTCAGCCATCTGCTGTCAGGGGCTGTGCTGTGTATCTCCAAAACCAGGGACAATGTAGGGTTCAGGAGAGTGGAAAATCCCTAATCAGGAGAACAAAAAGGCCAGTTACTAGTGCTGTGTCTTAAAAACCAGAGATCTTGAGAGTGGGGACTCACAGAACAAGGGAAGCTTGGGCAGGAGAGAGGCACATGGGGGCATGCTTTCATAGCTGAGGGGTCATTTTTAACTGCAGGACCAACTAAGGAGGAGGGAACTGGATGCAGAGGAAAGAGAGATTCCATGTTTCAGAGGAGAAGCTGTGCACAGAAGAGGAGACTCTGGACTCCTTAAAGACCTCAGACCTAAGCATGAAGAACACTCAAGAGTGGTGAGGAAATGAGGTAGGGAAATGTGTCCAGGTGTGATTGTTTTGTCTAGATTTGTGTATTTCTTGAGCTAGCTAAAAAAGAAGTGATTGGTTTTTGAAGCCTTTGCAAAGCCTAGGTCTCTTTCTGTTTCCACTATCATGTGTCCCTGGATAGGTGAACTGTAAAGGAGAGTGCCTACAGGGTTGGAGCCTGGAAAAAGTTGTGCTTAAGCTACTGGAGAGTTTGGGAAGTGAGCTCTGGTTCTGGGGGCCTAGGACAGCCGGGCCATCAAGTCCCATTTTTGTGAAGGGCTAACAGATGAAAGCCTGTGCCCAGGACGTGTACCATAACAGCCAAATAAAGAGACAGTGCTGCAGCCTACTTGGACCAAGGGAAGCTTAAGAGCACACAGGTGTAGCATCTTGGGATCCAAACACAGCAACCTGATGAGGTCCAACTGAGAGAGCTCTACCAGGGGTGTGACAAAGAAAACCAAAGAGCAAATAGGAGAAAGATAAGAGCATTCACAGCCACATATGTACCCATTACCCCACACAATGCCCTGCACATGCACAGCCCTTCCCCCTCACATACACACACATTCATGCATACTCCACTCTTCACATGCTCAAGCATGCACACTCCCACCCATGCTCTCACACACAAGCACATACACACACATGCTGTTCCATGTATTTTTCTCCACACTACAATGGAAGTAAAGAACCAAATTCAGGGGACCCATTGGACCCAGCCTCACTAAAGCCACTTGAAAGTCAGTCTTGTGCACCAGCCAGCATCTCTTCTCCTTGGCCCCTTGCACAGTAAAGTGTGCTGCATGCTGACCCTGTCTGCACTGGCAATGCCATTAGTGCCAGAATCCTGCTCTCTCAGACACCATCTACATGCAGAGGGGATGGTGGTGGCAAGTACAGCACGCACCTAACTTTGAATAAAATGCAGCAAACTGCAGCCACCTTCACCTTTTAATGTGGAGCTGCAACTCCCATGGAGGACATGATTCTCTGCTGAGTCAAGCAGCCTGGCCATGTTGCTGCACAGTGCAACCCACTACCCTCATCCCTTCTCGTGTAAGGGACGAGATCTGCATTCAGACTGCCAAAAGCATTTGGCATCTTCAGCACTTCGCAGCTTATTTACCTGAGGAAGCTGAGCTGATGAAGATTCGGACCAGACTGGACGGCTGGAAGGGCAAAGGGACCATCTTACCCTGGAGAAGGTCCCGGCATGTGTCCGGGCTGAGGCAGCTGAGACTCATGCTGGTGTCTTCACTCGCTGACTTCTCCCTTGAAGGACACTGCTTTACAGAAGAATATATTCAAACAAGTGGCAGGAATGAGACCCAGCATGTGGCACTAGTGAGCGATTCAGCACACTTGGAAACTGCCCCCCCAAGACTTCCCACATTACCCCAGAGAACAGACCATTGTGGGGCTTTGTTCCTTCATATTTAAACAGGACCAGTAAAATCCTCAGCTGTTCAAATGGAAAAATTAGGAAAACCTGGAGCTCTGAGTCTGTGCTGATAGCTGTGAAACTCTGTCTCCTTGCAACACAGGGGCTTGGCTGCATCCCAGGAGGGCATCCATCTCTATAGCAACCAGTGTTTATCACTTGGGCGAATCCCCGGGGTGCTCTAAAGTGCCAGACTCTAGTGTGCTCTTAGTCAGGGATGTACACTTGAGGCCCTTTCGCTCAGTGGCCTTGTTTATGCTAGAAATTCTTGTAGCCATATTCCAGCAGTGGGCAGCGGTACCATTGCTAGCAACAGTATTAGCATGAATCCGGACAGGGCACTGGCATTCTTTCCACCTGCTCAGAGCAGGTTTTGACACGGGGGAATACACCCAAGCCCTGTCTGCACTAGTCTTTTGTCAATGTGTAAAAGGGTGACCTACTAAAATATTCCCAGTCAATATTTACACCTGTACAGTGACCTCTGAAGTCTGTGATGTGGCTCCAAGTAAACTACAGGGAGGACAGACGCAGCACACAGGGGAAGCTGACAAGAAAATGTTATTATACAAGAACTAACTGACCATGCAGTGTCGACAATGACCAGGATAAAAAATAATGATTTTATTTTGGAAAGTGATATGACAGCTGGACTCCAGTGGCACAAGATGACTCTTACAGTTTGGATTATACTGTACAGAATTCAATCTGCTTGTTCACATACTTGTCAGACTGTGAGAGAACTGGCCTTGCACAGGGTCACTCCCAATTGCACATTTCAACAGTACATGGGGTACAGTGAGGAGGAAAATGCCCTGCCGATAAACTCTCACCAGCTGGAGTTAGCAGCAAACAGACTCCTTCACTCCAAGCAAATGTGTCATATTTCCAATAACTGCCAACTAGAAGTTCTCAGTCTATGGCAGCATCACCCACTAGAGGCTCCCAAATTTTCTTGAGCCTGGAAAGTTGTAATTGCTGCTGAAGGAAACTGGTAGTTTTCAGATGCAAAAGGTGTTTGGTTCCATCGCCCTCCCACCAAAAAAAGTTTGGGTTTGTGATCATAAAAGGTGAGGCGTGCTCAGTGAATGGGAGCTGGATGCTCTTAACATGATTGGACCCTTTAGCACCATGACAAAAAAAAAATACAATCCTGAAGGTTCAGCTCTTCAAGAAACCATTCCTGGCAATAACATGTATAGTTACAAGTGACAAAGAGTCCTGTGGCACCTTATAGACTAACAGACATATTGGAGCATAAGCTTTCGTGGGTGAATACCCACTTCGTCAGATGCATGCCCCTGACGAAGTGGGTATTCACCTGTGAAAGCTTATGCTCCAATACGTCTGTTAGTCTATAAGGTGCCACAGGACTCTTTGTTGCTTTTTACAGATCCAGACTAACACGGCTACCCCTCTGATACCTGTATAGTTACAGTACATGCAAATATAGCTGAACACAGAGCCTGTGATACAAATCCCCCAGGGACTGCACTAGCCAGTAGCCTCCAATGACAGGGACTTTGTGGCTTTAAAACTCCAAAGAACTGGCACCTCATGGAAAATGGGGGAAATCTTTATTATGAAACAATTCTGTCCCTTTGGCACATTCCCCATTAGTTATTACAAGGGACTGGTACTTGTAAACAGATTCACAATTTCCCTGCAGCAATTGCTAATCGCCCCACTGTGATCAAAGCCCCCTGAGTGTGCTATCACAATCTTAGAAATGTAGGCCTGAAAAGGACCTTGATAGGTCTTCTAGTCCAGCCCCTTGAACTGAGGGAGGACCAAGTAAAGCTAGCCCATCCCTGATGGGCGTTTGTCCAACCTGTTCTTAAAAACCTCCAATGACGGGGATTCCACAACTTCCCTTGGAAGCCTGCTCCAGAGCTTAACTATCTTTATAGTTAGAAAGTTTCCCCTAATATCTCCCTAGCTGCAATTAAGCCCATTTCTTCTTGTCCTACCTTCAGTGGACATGGAGAACAGTTGATCACCATCCTCTTTATAACAGCCCTTAACACATTAGAAGACTGTCATCAGATCCCCCTCCACCATCTTTCTCAAGACTAAACATATCCAGTTTTTTTAACTTTTCCTCATAAGTCAGATTTACTAAACCTTTTATCATTTTTGTTGCTCTCCTCTGGACTTTCTCCAATTTATCCACATCTTTCCTAAAGTGCGGCAGGCCCAGCTGAGGCCCCACCAGTGCTGAATAGAATGGGACAATTACCTCCTGTGTCTTACAAACAACACTCCTGTTAATGTACCTGTGATGGAGTGTACAAAGCTCACACTGGGCCTGAAGGGGTTAAAGGAAGCACCACCACTCCAGACCTGCAGAGCATGCTCCAACTGGAGAGGCACCTTAAAACATAAAGAGAACAACTTAGCTCAGAAGAGGGAGGCTGGGGAGGAAGACAGACCTACCCTGTGGGCTCCTGAACAAGGGTGCCAAAGCAGCCTCCCTTTGAGGAATAGGGCTACCTGCTGAGCCTAGTTTGGGCTGAAGGTTTAGTTGTCTTTTCATTTTCTTGTATTATCTTATATAGGACTTGAAGGCATGTGGGGATGGATGGTAGGAAATGGCCCAGGGGCAAAGTGGAGGGCATTCCAGGGTGCTGGACACTGTTGGCACTCATAGGACCCTGGGTAAGAGCCTGGTAGAGTGGGAGGGACCGGGCTCCCCTACCAACTGCCCTTGCTGCAGGAGGAGTGTAAGGCTCATTTCCACCCCACTCCCCCTCTAGTAAGGAGAGGGCAAGGACATTGAAAACCCTGAGATAAAGCTAAGCCCCATACAAGGGTTGGGAACTGGACTGAAAGGCCTTCCTGCAGGGAGGCAAGGCTGGAAACTGGGTGGGCTATCCACCTGGCCCTCTGGGAACTCTGTTACAATATCCCGAAATGATATTAGCATTTTTTGCAACTGCATCACATTGTTGGCTCATGTGATTTGCTATAACTCCCAGATCCTTTTCAGCAGCACTAACACCTAACCAGTTATTCCCCATTTTGTAATTATGCATTTGACTTTTTTCTTCCTAAGTGTAGTACTTTGCACTTGTCTTTACTGAATTTCACCTTGTTGATTTCTGACCAATTCTCCAATTTGTCAAGTTTCTTTTCAATTGTAATCCTGTCCTCCAAAGTGATCGCTAAAGCAACCAGAGGACTCTGACCACAGATGGAGAATAAGCATCAGGAATCTCAGAAAAGAAAGATCTGGTATTGTGCAAATGTCCATGGTAATAAAACAGTGCGGGAGGAGAGAGTGAGAGACCCATCAGATGATCCCACCAGGCAGCAAGGATCCTTTCCAAGCAGCAGTTGCCTCTGCCTCATATGCACAGAAAATGCTTTCCAGTGTCTGTTCATTCACCTGGGGCATGGGCCCTGGCACCCTCTGGGGTATTCACAGTGTTTCGACTGAGATCTCAGTTTGTTCCTTCTACACAGCCCGCACCAGCGGCAATAGAGACCACGCTGGGCTCTTGATGGGAGCAACAGACTTATTTCTCGGGGCCTCTCCTCCTTGTGCTTTTCCGTTTCTGTATGATAAAGTCAATCTGGTAAATGAGCATCACGGCCATGGAAAACACGAGAATCTGGAAGGGAAAAGGAAGTCACTTGGGCTGGATTCACTGACACCTGAAAGCAACATCCCTGAGGGCTGAGAGCAGGGGAAATGCAGGGAAGGGACCACGAAATCCTGTAATTTACCCTCTAGACAAAACCCAAGGTTCTGATGCCAAGGACTGTGTCCCCCACTGACTTTCATGGTTGCTGCAGCAGTTCAGCACCTGTGAAACTCAGGCCACTTGTTTAGGTGCCTAAGCATTATTGTTCATATGTCACTATATTATTAGTACTGTGTATCTAACTATGGATTTAGGTGTTAGAATCATAGAATCTCAGGGTTGGAAGGGCCCTCAGGAGGTCATCTAGTCCAACCCCCTGCTCAAAGCAGGACCAATTCCCAACTAAATCATCCCAGCCAGGGCTTTGTGAAGCCTGACCTTAAAAACCTCTAAGGAAGGAGATTCCACCACCTCCCTAGGTAACGCATTCCAGTGCTTCACCACCCTCCTAGTGAAAAAGTTTTCCTAATAGCCAACCTAAACCTCCCCCACTGCAACTTGAGACCATTACTCCTTGTTCTGTCATCTGGTACCACTGAGAACAGTCTAGATCCATCTTCTTTGGAACCCCCTTTCAGGTAGTTGAAAGCAGCTATCAAATACCCCCTCATTCTTCTCTTCTGCAGACTCTTCTGTTAACGTTTGCCACCCAAGTTTGAAAACTTTGTATGGAGGGGAGTGGTTATCATTCATAGAGCTAGCCAAGCAGATTCTTGGCTTTGTTTATACTAGAAAAATGCACTGGTTTAACCACATTTATTTTAAAATCAATTTAATTAAATCAATGCAAACTCCTAATATAGATGCATTTCTATACATGGAGGTAGTTTGCATCAACACGCTTGATATTAGTTTAGCTTGCATTAGTAAGTTACCAACTTAACCTTTGCTTATATTAATTTAGCTTAAATCAGTTTAAGTGCATTGCTCTTGAGAGTTTGCACTGGTTTAACTCGATTAGTTTTTAATGGATTTAGTTAAACTGATGCACTTTTCTAATACAGACATAGTCTTAACGCTGTTACAGCCTCAGTTACCTCCAAGAAAAACAGTCCTATTGCTAGCCCTGCAACAAGCAGCAGGTTTCTCTGCCCCCAGCCAACAATCTTTTCCAAGCAGCCCTCAATGTATATCAGACTTTCTGCTTTCCATGATCTCAGGTTCTGGGTCCCATAGCCACACATGGTGTTGAGAACACTCTGCAGGGAGAGAAGAGCCAGTAAGAGTTTAGTGAGTGAGGAACAGGATCTGCTCTTTCCCCCCTGAAGTAGTCACTGCATGCCTGACCCTGAGAGGAGAGGGAGGGGACAGGTGTCCTGATACAAATATCTAGCAGGGATGGTCTAGGTCAGGGGTGGCCAACCTGAGCCTGAGATGGAGCCAGAATTTAACAATGTACATTGCCAAAGAGCCACAGTAATACGTCAGCAGCTCCCCCACGCCACGCCCCTCCCGCCCACCGGCAGCCCCACCGATCAGCATCTCCCCCTTCCTCCCAATCAGTGGGGGCAGGGCCTGTGGCAGAGCCAGGGGTTGAGCAGTGAGCATCCCCTGGCACATTGGAAAGTTGGCGCCTGTAGCTCCAGCTCCGGAGTCGGTGCCTATACAAGGAGCTGCATATTAGCTTCTGAAGAGCCGCATGTGGCTCCGGAGCCACCCCTGGGCTAGTTAATACTTAGTCCTGCCATGAGTGCAGGGGACTGGACTAGATGACCTCTCGAGGTCCCTTCCAGTCCTATGATTCTGATACATAGTCATGGGCCCAAACAAACAACCAGAACAGAACACTGCTTTGTTCTTGGTGGTCTAGCCAGCTATGTTACAGACAGACAGCATGTTAAATGGTTAGAACAAGGGATTTGGAATTGGGAGATGTGGGTTCTGTTCTGAGTCTTCCACAGACTCACTGTATATTCTAAGTAAAGTCACATTGCCTTTCTGTGCCTCAGTTTCCCTAACCCAGTGGGGATAATGATACTGACCTGACCTTGCAAACTGCATTGAGATCCTGACATGAAATGTTATATAATGCAAAGTACCTCTGATACTTTCCTACTTGATCTCTTTGGCTTTATTTTAATGTGTGTCCTTAGCTCCCAACCACGTGCTGCAGTGGAAATTTTTTAAAAATAAAAACCTAAAGAAAAAAATTTTAACCACAAAAATGTGGCCAGATTTGACTTACAGTAATGGCTGCCTCTTGATCTTTTTGGATGCAGCAGGAGAAAGGCACAGCACAGCGTTCCAGGCTTGGGTTGGAGTCTTGGCACTCAAAGTAAATATTCTGGGACCAGTCCTTGTAGGAATGCACCCCACAGCACTCAAACTGAGAGAGTGAAACAGAAAGGAGGACCTTGGGGTAGCTGCTTGTTTACACAGGGCCCAGGTGTGCACGGGACTGTACAGACAGGAGTTCTGCGAATAGCTGTGAGATAAGTTACCCACGGGTAGGAATAAACTGCCCAGAAGACCCCCTACAATCCAATAAGGGAGAACTGTAATCTTTGGAATCTAGTTAAACTCCCCCACAGCCTCCTCAGATTACCAGTGTCTGAGCAGCGGCTGGAACAGGAGACACGGTTGACTCAACCATCTTTCTCTTATCTCTCTCATGGGTATTCACAGACTTTCAGGGGACTTTAGGAATCTAATTTGGGAGGGAGAAGCAACTGTGTCTTGTGGTGCAAACAGGGAACAAAAATGGGGTTTCCCTAAATTGGTCAATGGTGAATTTCATTCTGTTCTCAACTGCCTTGGTGAAAGTCACAGCTGCTGCCGTGGACAGAAAAAAATAAATGGAGACCATTCTTCTTTCTGTGGTTTGAGGAGTGGAGAAAACACTGACTTGAGCACAGGGCCTGGCAAGACAATGGGAAGCTGGCTGTCAGGGACCTGGCGTTAGGCTCCCTGTGTATGTGGGGGTCTAATGCTGGCACTGAGATCCCAGCACTGACTGAGGATCTGAGACAGGGTATGTTTGGCCATTTGCCTTCACTGAAATAATTGAACAGCAAAGCATGATACAAATCTGAGAGGTGTTTTTAAATTACCTTTTTCTGTATATAATCAATAAGGTTCTGTAAATCTAGGTCATCCCTATAACCGGAGATAGCTTTTCCCATCAGAAATGCTGCTTTCTCCAACACCTGCAACACACACAGACAGTGCAGTTGTCAGCATCTACCAGGCAGATTCATTGACTTTCAGAAGCTCCCCTTGTCTTCCATTTCCTGCACTTTGGGCCCAAGTCTTGTCTCTGGCATCTGGTCTCTCCGAGGCACCCCTAATCTGAGCATGTCACAGGGACAAATGCAAGTTAAACCCGAGTGGCTGTCTTTTCCCCCATTCGCCTCCCCAAAGTGCAGATGGAGAAGGTTGACCTGCATCCCTATTGGCAGCCAGAGAATAAATACTCTGCATACACTGTGCATTCAGATGTTCCCTGATTCATCTTGACAACCGCACAGTCAGGTAGGTAGAGGAAGTATTAATGTTCCCATCTTCCAGAGGGGAAACTGAGGCAGGGAGGGGCAGAGACTTGCCCAAGGCTACATAGGGTGTTACTGACTTCTAGATCTGTGCTCATGCAATTATGTTGCCAAATGCAACTGTCTAATGCAGCAAAGTGTCAGCCAGCTTTGGAGTTGGCTTTGCAGTTACCATGCCGGAGAAGAGAAATCCCAGGACAGCAGCCACGATCTGGAGAATGAGAATGATCAGTAAAATCCAGGCAAACTGAAAAATGAAGGGGTGAGATCATCAGAACAACCTGTAGAGCAACCAGTTCCCCCCACCAGCATCGATGCAAGAGCCCTTAGAGCAAGAGCTCTGTGGGGCTGGGGCTGTGTCTATGATGTGTCATGTACATTCACCCTGCTGTGTATGTGTGTTAATACTCATGCCCAGAGCTCCAATGAGATCATCCTCCACCTCCAACAGTCCAGAGGAAATCAGCTGTCAGGTGCAATGAACCAGCATTTCCCCTTCAGTAATACTGTATCTTGGGGGGCCCCAAGGCACTGGGGCCTGCTTAAGACTTGTTACACACAAGACAATCCCTGGAAACTCCAGAGATACGCCCTGTGCAGGAAGGCTTGGAAAATCTAGTTCCAGATTCTACAAGAGAACACAGCAGCTGAAACACTGCAGAGAACACAGGGGACAAGCATAAGACCTGGCTGAGCAGGGGAACTGTTTAAATTACCAGCCCCTTGGAGAGACCAGGCCTGATTATGCATAAAAGGCTGTCTCCTGCCTGCACTACACTGCCATTTTTTCAGGTCCCAGCCCTCCTTGCAGCAGGAGGGCTGAATGTGAGAACTTCCAGGCAACCACCTGGATACCAGTGTTATTACAAGATAGGGCTCCCCATCATAGCTAAATGGTAGTACTGCTGGTAAATATCACTACCCGAATGTATTGGAGAGAGTCAAGTCCCCTGCCTATAAGTCCCAGCTGAGGAATACATCATGGGCTAGAACAGAATTTCCCCTGGCTGGTTTTCCCACAAGCCTCCGTGGTTCATTTGCAGGTGAGGCTAGAAGAAAATGATTAGAATGTTTCAGACAAAAATGCCCCACTACCTCTGCTATAGCACTGGTGATGGAGCTGAGATTGCCTGTGCTAATGGAACAGGCACTGACTCCACAGTCAGGTCAGCATTTTGGAGCAAGCCTGCCAGCCCAGATTAGGGCTAATGGGGCTTGCACTAGTGTTTTAAAGATAGTGTTAGAGACAGCACTTTGAAATTGCAGTTTGGGCTGGGGCTCAGCCTCCAGTGCAAGCTCTGCTCACCCAAATCTGTCAGCCTAGGCTGGGAGACATACTCTGACCTTGCTGCCATTGTGACTGCCCTATTAGCTGCTTTTTGTAATGTTGTAGCTGTGTTGGTCCCAACAAGGTGGGTGAGGTAAGATCTTTTATTGGACCAACTTCTACTGGTGAAAGAGACGAGTTTTCGAGCTTACACAGAGCTTTTCTTCATGACTGGGAAATGTACTCAGAGTGTCACAGCTAAATACAAGGTGGAACAGGTTGTTTAGCATAAGGAATTACATGTTGTAAGAGGTCATTCAAGGTGAAGTGGGCAGTTCACACCTCTGTTATCATAGGACAAAAAGTTAGTGCATTATAGATTGTTATCATGAGCCATAAATCCATGTTAGCTGCTTGGAAGGAGACTTAGGGTATGGCTACACTACCCACCGGCGGGCAGCGATCGATCCAGCAGGGGTCAATTTATTGCGTCTAGTCTAGACGCGATAAATCGATCCCCAAGCGCTCTCCCGTCGACTCCTGTACTCCACCGCCGCGAGAGGCGCAGGCAGAGTCGTCGGGGGAGCAGCAGCAGTCAACTCACCGCGGTGAAGACACCACGGTAAGTCGATCTAAGTACGTCGACTTCAGCTACGTTATTCACATAGCTGAAGTTACGTAACTTAGATGGATCTCTCCCCCCAGTGTAGACCAGGCCTTAGTCTCTAAGGTGCCACAAGGACTCCTTGTTGTTTTTGCTGATACAGACTAACATGGCTACCATTTGTCTTTAAGAGTGCCCCTGTCATGGAATCTTAATTATTAGGGATGTAAAAGACCTATGAGGTCAGCTAATAACACTCACCTCCTGGCTGTGCTTTGAAGTTGCAAAGTGCTAGGTTAGGTATGTGCCAAGTGTGGTTAGCCCATCACTGGGGCTGGTTGTTGTTCCCTACAGTCTATTCTCCAGTATTTTGTCCTGTCTAGTTTAAATGCCATCTTTTCATTAGCATAGTTAAGTCTCCCTTTGGGGAGAGGAACCAGCACAGGGAAATGAATTCTTCTCTGCTTTACTATGTTAGCAAACAATTTATTTGGTGAGTTTTTGCTGCTTTGCTGCAGTCAGCAATTTCCTCAGGTTTATTTGACAAGTTGTGAATTTTTTTTTTTACTCTGTGGATTTATCATGTTGAGTCTGCGCATTTGATTCCCAGCATTCAAAATTCAGTCTGAGTGTGGTCACATAAGGCAGATGGGGTTGTTTCTGTTCTCCAGTTGCATAAATATAACTCTTACGGAGTGCTCTTCCTACACAGATCTTCACACAGGCCATTTTGAAATTTGTTCACCCAAATGTTGCTGAGCGTGACTTGAGGGCTCAGAAGGTCAGCTCAGAAGCACACAAGGACCCCAGAGCAAGTATATTTTAAAATTGAAGCCAATATTCCAAGACACTGTTTGGAGGGGGCCAGTATTTACCCAGCTATAGTGATAAACATTAGCTGACACCTGAGAAGGAACCTTTCCTTTTGTATTACTGGGAAATGTTAAATCCTGTCAAGGGGGAATTTTTGTTATTTGCAAATGAAAAGAACACACCCTAAACCTCTTCCAGCCTCATTGGATTCTATTAGCTACAAGAAACATGCAGTCTCCAAACATATCACACACACTTTCTTGCATTGCACTGCTGTAGCATGCCTGTGCCTCCAGACACTCCGCAATGAAATTATCCCCAAGATAACCTCATACCAACACCTGGAGGAATGTTACATTTGCAAACTCTCTGCAAAATTCCCATAAAGGCAACAACTGTGGATTCTGATGGGCAAATATTATAAACAACCCTTTGACTTGGGACAAATAGTGTAAATGGCAAAATGTTGGTGCAAATGTGAAAAACAGGCCACATTAAAAGGTGACAGGACTGGCACAAGCCACCAGATCTTTTTGCTTGGATGTGCAGCCAAAGAGACAGGTGGGGAGCAGAAGTTATGAGTCACGATGGCAGTGCAGCCTTTAGTGTGGTCAGGAATTCACTGATTTTTTTTCTTTTTCCTTGCTGTTCATGCAGTTGGTGAGCTATTTTCCCACTAGCTCAGTAACATGCTAGTACTTCCAGTGCCCCCCTTCAGAACCCACTTAAGGGACTGACAAAAATTGATCTTCTAATGCAGGTGGAGCAGGTTCACACTCCACTCTTTGGCCTGGTCTACACTAGGACTTTAATTCGGATTTAGCTGCCTTAATCCGAATTAACCCTTCACCCGTCCACACTACAGAGCCAGTTAATTCGAATTAAAGGGCCCTTTAAATCGATTTCTGTACTCCACCTCGACGAACGGAGTAGAGCCTAAATCGATTTTGTTAATTCGAATTAGGGTTAGTGTGGACGCACACCACCGAATTACTGTGTTTAAGTTAATGGGGTAGTGTGGCCGCACACCACCGAATTAATGTGGTTTAAAACCGAATTAAGGTGCTTAGTGTGGCCGCGCACAATCGAATTTATACAACCTGTTTCCTAAATTCGAATTATCTAAATTCGGATTAATCCTGTAGTGTAGACATACCCTTTGAGGCACTCTCTTTAGGCAGGAAGTTGCCTAGTAAGGGCAGCCCAAGGCATAGGGATCCCTATCAGATAGAAGAAATCATCCCACTAGCCTCTCCTTACAATTTTCAGCAGCACAGGCAGGTCACGCAAGGCTCCTGTACACCCCACAAAGGTGATGCCAAACATCAGGATCCCCACCGTAAGCAGGATCAGCGAGGGATCAGCGAGGAGCGAATCCACAGCACCTGGCAGAAATTGAAAAACAAGGCAAAGTAAGAAATTTGCGCAAGCCAAATCCTGCTCCTTCCTCTTCCCCTCAGAGTATCAAGAATGGATACAGAGCTCACAGAAGAACACTGAGTTGGACAAGTTCCACATACCAGCCTTCCAGGGCAAGCCCCAACCCTCCCCTTGAAACACATTTCCTCCCTGCACTCGTCGGTTTTAGCCACACCTTCTCATCACAGAGCTACGGGATTACAAAACACTCACCAAATAAAATTCTGCACTACAAGGTTGCCTAGGTCCACAAGTTTAATTGATGAACACATTTGTCACCTTGGACTGTAAACCCTTCCGGGCAGAGACCATGTTTGTCTCTATGGTCTGTACAGCACCAAGCACATAGCTAGTGCTCAGCAAATACAAATGGCACATTGAAGGGAGGGGGAATTTGTGCTTGGAGGTTTATTCCCCAGCGTTGAAACTGTGAAGCAACGAAGCCTCAGGTTCATGACATTGGTGGAAGGAGCTGAGCTCCCTCATGAGTTTACTTTCCAGAGTTCTCAGGCATTCATTAGGCTGCACCACCTTATTTGATCCATTTGTAATTTGTTTATTGAATATTGCTGAACACTCAGCAGTCTTTGGGGATGACAAATGTACATGGTTATTAATAATCCTTCTCAGCCTTGTAGATCCATCAAAAAGATTGGGCACCACCATGGGGGAGTGACATACAGGAACGATGGCGGAGGGTGATTTGAAAACTGCCAGTCAGAGATGGGCCACAAAGCTCATCTCCACGCTGTACTGGGAAGAGAGCAATGACTGCACAATTACCCTGCAGTCACTTCGTTAGCTTTATCTAAACTCCAGCTTGGTAACTTATGGAGGGACAGGAAATGGTACTTACTTGCTTCTTGAGAGAGTTTGGCATAAATGCCAACTGCAACCATGAGCCCACTGGCCACCTAAGGAGGAAGAATCAGAGACAAACTCATCATTTTGCAAGAGGAAAAATCCCCCAACAGCATCTAATTCTGGGAGCAGGAGACATTTGCCCAGCCAGAGAAGAGAAGCAGGACTCGCAGCCTGTCCAAGGGGAACCCAGATGAAGGGATACCAGAGGGTAGATTAGCAATTTACAAGGGACCTGCACCCTGCCATCCTCACCACAGGGCCCTAGTATCACAACTGGCCAGACTGACTCTTCACTGGGACGACTTTGAAAGTGGGTTTCCCTGCAAGCAGTGATCTTGCTGCCCAGCCAGTGTCAGCCCCACCCTGGGCGTGGCAGCCCCAGCTCTGCTCAGACTCACCCAGAAGAGGTAACAGGAGACAAACAAAGTGTATTTGATGAGCTGGTTTGTTCTCATGGTTCGTGTCGGAGTCTCTGATACCAGTGCACCACTCTCCCAGCTGTGGAGTCCGTTTCTCTGCTGATTCTTGGTGCCTGGATCATGTGCTCTAGGGAGTGTTACAGGCACAAAGGGAGAAGACTGACATGTACAGTCAGGTTTGCCACGTGTTTCCTAGTGTAAGTCACTTGCCTGTTTCCAGCTCTCTTGCAGCTGCAGTAGGACAGGCTAACTAGGCAAAATAAATTCCTGAAATGAAGACCTCAGACACACTGAAAGAGGAGGCCAAGGCAAGGAGAAGCCCAGCAGTGAGGTGGGGCAGCATTCTTCCATTCAGGTTATTGAGAGTAGGAGGAAGATAAGCCATTTGAAGAGAGATTCTGCCCAAGCTGCCAGTGAAATGTCAGAGGAGACAGGAAGAAACAGGTTTAGACTAGATTCTGTGCATCAGAGAGGCAGGTTCCCAGGAACTGGAGTCCCAGCCCCTTATTCCTTGGGTATGGCTCCCTGAGAAGGAAGAGTGCTTGGCAACTGGAATGAGGAGAGAGGCACTTGGAATGGGAACCCTGCAAGAACTCACCCTTCACCCCCACACGTAAAAAAGAGAGAGACTCCTACAATTAATTTTTTTTTTAAATCAGCCTTCAAAGTAAACACAGTGAAAGGTGCCACATGCTCAGGACTGGAGACAGACAAAATTTCATCAGAATTGAGCAGTGGATGCAGTGGCAGAGTGGGCTTCCTCTCACTGAGCCATGTATTGGGCATCCCAAAGGTGCCAGGGAGATGAGCTCTAGCAGAGGCTGACAGAGCAGATGTCTCTCCACTCCAAGCTGTGCAGTTGCTCCCTGTGACTTGGAGACCATGCACCAGGTGGCACCATTGCATTGCACCCTGCAGGGAAATGAATGCTGGGGCCTGAGATCTTATTTGTCCTCCTTAAGAACCCCAAATTGGGCTGTTTTGTAGGAGTCTGAACCAGGTTGAGTGTATGTGAGAGAGGGGCTGTGAGGTCGAACGAGCCGAGTCTGCTCAGAGGTTTCGAAAGGAGATAGGTAGGGCACTACCAAATTCACAGTCCATTTTGAAAATGGACTTTTAAAAATCATAAATTTCATATATTTAAATCTGAAATTTCATGGTGTTGCAGTTGTAGGAGTCTTGACCCAAAAGGGTGTTGGGGGGAGGGTTGTAAGATTATTGTAGGGGGGTCTCAGTATTGCCACCCTTTCTTCTGCACTGCTATTGGTGGTGGTGCTACCTTCAGAGCTGGGCAGCCACAGAGCAGCAGCTGTTGGCCAGGAGCCCAGTTCTGAACACCACCGCCAACAGCAGTGCAGAAGTAAGGGTGGCATGGTATGGTATTGCCACCCTTACTTCTGTCCTGCTGCCTTCAGAGCTGGGCCCTCAGCCAGCAGCCGCCACTCTCCAGCTGCCCAGCTCTGAAGGCAGCAGGACAGAAGTAAGGGTGGCATAGGATGGTATTGCCACCCTTACTTCTGCGCTGCTCCTGGCAGGGTGCTACCTTCAGAGCTGGGCACCTGGCCAGCAGCCGCTGCTCTCGAGCCACATAGCTCTGAAGGCAGAACAGATGTAAAGGTGGCAATACCATGACCCCCCTATAATAACCTTGCAACCCTCCGCACCGCCTTTTGGGTCAGGACCTTCTGTTTGAGAAACGCTGGTTTTCCCCATGAAATCTCTATAGTATAGGGTAAAAGTACACAAAAGACCAGATTTCATGGGGGAGACTAGATTTCACGATCTGTGACGCATTTTTCATGGACATTAATTGCCAGGGTTGCCTCTGTAGCCTTTTTTAAAAATAGGCAGTACATTAGCTTCCCTCCAATCATCTGGTCCAGAGGCTGATTTAAGCAATAGGTTACATACCACAGTTAGTAGTTCTGCAATTTCATATTTGAGTTCCTTCAGAACTCTTGGGTGAATACCATCTGGTCCTGGTGCCTTATTACTGTTTAATTTGCCAATTTGTTCCACAACACCATCTACTGACACCTCAATCTGGGACAAGCGACAAAGAGTCCTGTGGCACCTTATAAACTAAGAGATGTATTGGAGCATAAGCTTTCGTAGGTGAATACCCACTTCATCAGACGCATGACCCCCCTATAATGCATCTGACAAAGTGGGTATTCACCCACGAAAGCTTATGCTCCAATACATCTCTTAGTCTATAAGGTGCCACAGGACTCTTTGTCACTTTTTACAGATCCAGACTAACACGGCTACCCCTCTGAATCTGGGACAGTTCTTCAGATTTGGCACCTAAAAAGAATGGCTCAGGTGTGGGAATCTCCTTCACATCCTCTGCAGTGAAGACTGTTACAGAGAATTCATTTAGCTTCTCCATAACAGCCTTGTCTTCCTTGAGTGCTCCTTTAGCACCTTGATCATCCACTGATTCCACTGATCGTTTGGCAGGCTTCCTGCTTCTGATGTACTTAAAAATGTTTTTGCTGTTAGTTTTTGTGTATTTTGCTAGTTGTTCTTCATATTCTTTTTTGTCCTGCCCAATTATACTTTTACATTTGAGTTGCCAGAGTTTATGCTCCTTTTTGTTTTCCTCTGTAGGATTTGACTTCCTATTTTTAAAAGATGTCTTTTTGTCTCAAATCTCCTCCGTTTAGCCAGGGTAGTTTTTTGGTCCTTTTTTTTATTTTTTTAACTTGGGGTATTGTGATGGGGTGTACACCCCACACAGGAGTGTAAGGGGTTAATGGAGGCCCGATGGTCCAATTAACCTAGTGATTGAATGCCCTCGTTAGAGGAACAGGCTCACTGTGCAGGAGCAGGCAGGGCCTGTATAAAGCCTGTATGTAGCTGGCTGCACACGGGGGTGCCACTGGGAAAGACTGCAAGAAAGTAGACTGTAGCCACTCTCTGAGTGGAGGGAGTTGGAGGCTGGCAAACCTGGATGGGGGGAAGCTAAATAAGTAGGAAGAAGCCCAGGGTAACAGCAGCAAGGAGTAGGACTGTACATGGACTGTAGTTGCTTGTTATATGGTCCCTGGGCTGGAACCCAGTGTAGAAGACAGGCCTGGGTTCTCCTACCAGCCACTGGGGCGTGGCAAGAGCATTGGAGATGCCAGCCAGCAGGTCTGGAAAGACTGTGAATTCCCTGGAAAGGGAGGACCTTAGTGACCTGACTGGAGAGCCATGCCCTGAAGAGGAGATGGCAGGTCCGGGAGTGAGTGGGGCTGTAGAGAGAGACAATACGAGGGAAGATGCCACTGGAGGAGGAGCCTGACAGAGCTAATTCCCAGGACGGCCAGCAGAAGGCACTGCAAGTGGTGAGTGGACACGTGACAGGTATACATATACTTTGGGCCTCTGTTATGGTGTTTTTAAATAGTTTCCATGGAGCTTGCAGGCGTATCACTCCTTTAACTGTTCCTGTTAATTTCTCTTTAACTAGCTGCCTCATTTTTGTGTAGTTCCACTTTTTGAAATTAAATGCTACTGCGATGGGTTTCTTTGGTATCCCCCCTCCCCCCCAAATGTAAAATTTAAGTATATTATGGTCACTATTGCTGTGTGGTTCATCTACATTCACCTCTGGGACCAGATCATTTGCTCCACTTTGGACTAAATCAAGAATGTCCTCTCTCTTTGTGGGTTCCAGGACTAGCTGCTTCAAGAAGCAGTCATTAATGGTGTCTAGAAATGTTGTCTCTGCATGCCACCCTGGGGTGACAGTTACCAGTCAATATGGGGAAATAACCCATTATTAATGGGTTTTCTGTTTTTGTAGCCTCTCTAATCTCCCTGAGCGTTTCACAATCACCGTCACCATCCTAGTCAGGTGGATGGTGGTATATTCCTACTGCTCTACAGCCTGATTGTATCCACAGACACCTGGGACAAAATCAGTCTTACGGTGACCAAGGCAGTAGCACCTCAGAGAGGCAAGTTTGAACTCTCTCTGTGTGCAGATCAACAGTCTCAGCTTTGCCTGCTAAGGACAAATTGCCTCTGTTGCTTGGTTGTTGCTCTGTATTTCCCATAAAGATGAGAGAAGTTTGTATTAAAACAAACACACTTTGTGGGAATCTTGGAAAAAGCTTTTTTCAAGATTTCCTAATTTCTTACTGCTTTAGTATAAGACCAGAACAGGCTGCTGAGGGAGGGGAAAACCTTACTGTAGCAAGGAACATAGGAAATACTATACTTGGTCAGGCTAGTCAGTGCTCTAGTCCAGCATCCTGACTCTGACAGCTGCCAGAACCAGGTGCATCAGAGGGTGGTACAGTTGGCATAGGAAGCTCTAGTTTTGAGCTGAGTTCTCTCCACACTCTGAAATGATACTCAATACCTCTAGTGGTTTGCATCTTCAAAGCACCATGCAACCATTAAATAGTCAGCAGAAGGAAGTGGCAGGATCCTCTTGGCGTGGGACTTCAGTCTACAGTGAACAAAACACTGGGAAGTGTACAAGAGGGAAAAATCCATTATTGCCAAGGAAATGGACTGGATAATCTAACCTCCAACTCTACTTTCTGGGATGTTTCATTCATGTTGAGTTCACATTGGGGTTACTACTATCTGGGCAGAGTTTGAAAGAATATACATGTCAGCAGTAGTAAAAGAAATCAAGAGGGTGGGAGCATTGGCCAATCTGGGGTTCTTCTCCAATGTATTGGCTTTTGCCTTTTCCCCTGCAAGGTCTTTGGGGCGGGAATTCTGTATTTTGTTTGGCTTCCCCTCTTTGTATTGTAAAGAGCCATGTC